TCTCTCTCTCTCTCTCTCTCTCTCTCTCTCTCTCTCTCTCTCTCTCTCTCATACTCCTAGGCTGAAAAAAACAAATTAATTCCATCAAATTCTGGATTTTAATCAGACCTCAGATCTCCCAGACAAACTTGATTTTGAACCTCTACTTTCTTAGGAAATGCAATTTATTTCAAGATTTATTCTTAAATAAACTGTTCATTTTTTCCTGATTAAAATATTTCTGTCTTTGAAATCAGTTGTTGACAAAGTATCCATTATGACTTCCTTCAACTGCAAGCAACAGAAACCCTAGATGACTATAGTTGAACTCATACAAGTTCATCAGCCACCAGGAGGGTGGGAAATGGGTGAAACCTGGAGTTTCCTGAATGGGGTGATGCTATTGGGAACTGACTCTCCTTTCCTCCTCTACCATCCTTAGCATGAGGTCTTTTCCTCATGCTCACACCAGGGCTTTGACCCTGACTCAGCAGTCCATGGGGAAGGGCATAGGACTGAGAACAAGAAGCCTCCTTCTGAGACCTTCCCCATTTATTATATAAAAGGAACTACTTACTGTGGCCCCTGCTAAGTACAGGGTCAGGAGGCATTGTCTTGCTTCCTTGTCTCTGCTGTCAACACAGACTGGTCTGTGGCTTCATCAGATGTTGACTATAATCCTTATATATTGCCATGCCTCCAAAGGCACAAGATTTTCCATTGATATGGATTTGTATTTATATTACGAGCAATATTCCTGCTCACTAATTTGCCACTAATATGGTCTTCAAATGTTACATAAGAGCCCACTGTGCACCAGACATTAACTGGTTGAGTGTGTCTGCCCTCATGAAGCTTTGTTTTCCTGGAGGAGAGAAATTGGAGATAAGCCTAGGTAAGACCACAGAGGTTGCTGGGAGGGCATCAGAGACATGCAAAGGAGGTGGCAGGATGCTGTACTTGAGTGTGGTTGCAGAGGAGAGCTGCTGAGGAAACCTTCCCTGGGAGATGATATGTGAGCAGACACCAGGACATAAGAGGAATGTTCCAGGTCTGAGGACTAGTTTGTTGGGCAGAAAGGGACTTACTTAATCTAGTTAACCACAACACTACAAACAGCCCTATGACTGATCAAAGAAGATAGAGTGGAGTAGAACATAAGCAGGGCAGGTTCTTTTCTGTACCAGGGTGTTTTAAGGACTTCAACTTTTGTTCCTGCTAGAGTGGTACCACACAAAGGTGTACAGCCACAGTGGTGTGGTCTGACTTACACTGTGCTGGGAACTCTGGCTGCTGTGTTGAGGTCAGTGACAAGGAGGTCATCACTGTACCCCAGGGCTGTGCTGATGACTTTAAAAATAAAGTCAGATTCGGGTTCTATTTCAAAGGGACAGACAACCCAGTTTGGTAATGAGTCAGATGCAGGGTATGAGAGTGACAGAAGTCAAGGACACAGATTGGTTTTGGCAAGTGAAAGGAGGACATGTAAGAATTGTAGGCAGAGCAGCTATACAAAGGAATATCAAAGTGCCGGAGTCAAATCGACTATAAAATGCATTATTTCAGAGTTCAGGGAGGAGTCCAGGCTAGAACAGTGAATTTGGGAATATGTTCAAAGATAATAAATGAGACCCCCAGTAGAGAAGAATTGTGGGCCCAGGACATCACAGGTGTTTGGCGATTGGGTCAGTCAACTTTCTGACACTAAAGTGTGGAGACAGCCAACTTAATAAGAGAAAGAGTTTATTTGACTCGGTGTTAGAGGTTTAAGTCTGTGATGACATGAACCCATTGTTTTGGGGCCTGTTTTCAGGGTACTGGAATGGCATCCTAGGAACAGGTACTGAAGTAAAATGGTTCAGCTCAAGAGCAGGAAGTGAAAGAAAGGAAAAGTCCACGATCCCACAATCCCTTTCAAGGATACATCCCCATGACACACACACCTCCTTCTATCCCCCACCGTTAGCGATTCTGTACCCTTGCCAGGCATGGTGGCACACATATTTACTCACAACACTTGGGAAACAGAAACAGGTAGGTAGCTCTCTGTGCATTCAAGGCCAGCCTGGTCTGTGTATCAAGTTTGAGGCCAACTAGAGCTGCATAGTGAGACTCTGTGTCAAATAGGCAAGATTCCACCTCCTCCCAATCTAGCACTCCTGAGGACCAAGCTTTGAAAAGGGGGGCCTTTGGGGCATGTAAGGTCTAGACAAGTATTTGGGAGGCTGATGAAGTGTTCTAGAAGTCAATTTAAGAAAATGCTCCTAAGACTGAAGAGATGGCTCAATAATTAGAAAAAAATGTTCTTGAAGAAGAGCAGAGTTTGAATCCAGCACAAATGAATGGAAGATAAAAACATGATCATAACCATCCATAACTCTAGTTACAGAGGGGTTTGACACTCTTTTTTGAAATGTCTGTGTAATAAATGCACATAGTCATATAGTACACACACACATACATTCAGACCAAATACTCACACATATACAATATAATAAAAAAAAAAAAAAAGCCAAGTATTCCTAGTTACAGTGACTGGCTCCCTTGATTGAATCTGCCCAATGTTTCACTTGTGTCTCCTTTCAGTTTAATATTTGTCTATCCACAGAATGAGGAGAAACCTGTGCAAATGATGTTTAAGAAGTTTACTGTTAACATGACCTATATTGGAGAGATATTCACCAAGATTCTGTTGCTTCCCTATGCTGGCAATGAGCTGAACATGATCATCATGCTTCCAGATGAGCACGTTGAACTGAGAACAGTAAGGAGCGTGGGGCCTTGATGGGGCTGTGAGAGAAAAATTGAATGGCACTTGGGTTTCTGCTGGGGCAGCTCTCCTAGGCTCCCATGATCATGTTTTTGTCTTCCATTCATTTGTGAGGGTGGGCTGGAACTCAGGGTCTGGAGCCTGCTTGACAAACACTCACCACTGAGCTGTACTCACCCCTCCCAGCTACTATATTGACTTACAGCCACACTTCCCCGTGCAGTGTAGAGCCTCCCCATCATCTCAAGTGCCCTGTGACAACACTGTCCTGAAGTCTTTAACTCTCTTCTAGGTGGAAAAGGAAATAACTTATGAGAAATTCATTGAGTGGACAAGGCTGGACAAGATGGATGAAGAAGAGGTGGAGGTTTTCCTCCCACGGTTTAAACTGGAGGAGAATTATGACATGAAGGAATTCCTGTGCAAGCTGGGCATGACTGATGCCTTTGACTACAGGGCAGACTTTTCTGGAATATCTTCTAAGGAAAACTTGTTCCTCTCCAAGGTTGTGCATAAGTCCTTTGTGGAGGTCAATGAGGAGGGCACGGAGGCTGCTGCTGCCACAGCTGCCATCATGATGCTGAGGTGCATGAGGTTCACCCCCCGCTTCTGTGCCGACCACCCCTTCCTTTTCTTCATTCAGCATGTTAAGACCAATGGCATTCTGTTCTGTGGCCGGTTCTCCTCTCCCTGAGGAAAAGGTGTTCCTGTGTCTGCCTTTTATCCACTCTCCATGGTTTGTCTGTAACCCAAGTGACCTTATCCATAAGTGCAATGATAATTTTGAAATAAAGGGCTTTCTAGCATCCCACCTTCATAACTGTTTGTCTGTCTCTTGGGAAGGCTTTTTCTGTGACCTGAAATTGCATTTCTGGGGGTTTGTGGTGTTGCTGACTACAGAGTTCATCCCTGCTGAAGGACCCTATGGCTGCCAACACAGGCAGCCATGTGTCCCCCTGTGACAGGAGCAGAGAAGCAGTGCTTCTGTCTCTTCTCTTGGTAGCATCAGGATCTTACTCCACTTTAAGTTAAAAAAAAGCCAGTGAGTTGAAGCTCTGAGGAGTGGGCAGCAGAGACATGCCTCTGACAGTCTGTGTAGAACTGTGTGCCAAAATTTATGTAAGCTAGATAGGCGGGGTGATCAGGGACCCAGCCCAGTGAGAACAGCTCATTTATTTCCCCTTATATCTGTTTTCTCTCATATAGTATGACACACATACCTCTTTAGATACATACTGTCCACTTTCTCCCACGGATTGGAAATACTCCGTCATTCATGGGAATATAGTTGAGCATAGCTGCATGAATAAACATCAGGTGACTTTCTAACTAGTGACATAATACAGATAAAAAGGTGACAAGTTTCTGAAGCTGTGTTTGCCACTTGCTGGAAATACAATAGAAGCATTCAAATGGAAGTGAAGAAACTGAGGGGGGGGGCATGGTCTATGTGAAAGAGTCATGTTGGGACTCTAAGGGGTGGCAGGAAGGATCTTCCATGACCTGTGTGCAGTTTTACAGAAGCCAGGGTCTCTTCTGTGAAAGAGATGCTGCTCTGTAAAAGAGATGTTCTTCTGTGAAGGGCACCGATGCTGCTCACACACTGCTAAGCTGCGGTGACAAAGTGGGTGACATTAAGAGACATGGAATTTAGGAGCTGATGTGAAGAAAGGGAGATTAAAGTTTGCTGCCTTTGATGTCCACCCTTTGTCACTGTCCCATTGCTATAGCAAAAATACCTGAGACTGGAAAAGCTGAGCATGATGGTATAGACATGTGATTCCAGCACTTGGTAGGTAGAGGTGGAACGATCAGGTATCAAAGCCATCTGGAGTTAACTGGAGTTTAGTGAAACAAATTAAATGAACCTAGTGGACATCTACAGAGCTTTCCATCCAATAACTAAAGAGTACACACTTCTCAGCAGCCCACGGATCATTCTCTACAATCTATCACATGTTAGGACACAAAGCAAGTCTCAACAAACTTAGAAAACTTGAAATAACATCTTCCAGTCTACCTGACCACAGTGGAATAAAGCTGGCTGCCAATAGAAACTACAGGAAGTACATAAGTTCATGGAGACTAAACAGCACATTACTGAATGGCAGTTGGGTCAAGGAAGAAATCTGTAAGGAAATTAATTATTCCTAGAATTGAATTAAAATGAAAACACAACCTACCCAAATCTATGGGACATAAGACAGTCTTAAGAGAAAAAAGTTCACTATAGCATTAAGTACCTACATCAAAAATCTGAGATATCAAATTAGTAACTTAATGATTCGCCTGATATCCTTGGAAAAAAACAGGAACAAACAGCATCCCAAAACAGCATGGGAAGAGATAATCAAATGTGGGGCTAAAATTAATGAAATAGAAACAAACAAAAACAAAAAATACAAAGAATCAAAGAAACAGTAGGTTCTTCAAAAAAAATTAACAAGATTGATAACCTTTTACCCAAATTATCCAAAAAAGAGAAAAGATCTAAATTAGTACAATTAGCGATAAAAAGTAGACATCACTATAGACAGTGCAGCAACTCAGAAAATCATGAGGACATACTTAAAATTTTTTTATCCTACCAAATGAAAATCCAAAAGACATAGATGAATTTCTAGATTTATATTACCTACCAAAGTTAATTCAAGATGAAGTAAATAATGTAAAAAACTTTTAACAAACAATGAGATGGTAATAGTAATTAAAAATCTCTCAACTAAAGAGAGCCCAGGTAGATTCTGTGTAGAAGTTTGTCACAAATGTGCCTCAAGCTATTCCCCCAAATAGAAAAGAAAGGAACATTTCTAAATTCTCTTTACAAAGCCAGTATTACCCTGATACCAAAACCAGAAAAAAAAAAAAAACTAATAAAAGAAGAAAAAAAAAAGGTAAGAAAAATTGTAGGCCAACCTTCCTTATGAGCATAGACATAAAAATTTCTAATAAAAACCTTGCTAAGCGCTCGGCGGTGGTGGCACATGCCTTTAATCCCAGAACATGGGAGGCAGAGCCAGGAGGATCTCTATGAGTTCGAGGCCAGCCTGGTCTACAGAGTGAGATCCAGGATAGGCACCAAAACTACACAGAGAAACCGTGTCTCGAAAAACCAAAAACAAACAAACAGGCAAAAAACCTTGCTAAGCAAATTCAACAGCACATCACAAAGATTATCCATCATGGTCAGTTGAATTGATCCCAGAGATGCAGGGATGGTTCAACATAATCTACCACATAAATAAAGGACAGAAACCACATAATTATCTCATTAGATGCAGCAAAGGCCTTCAACAGTATTCAACATTCCATCATGATAAAAGTTATGAGTAATCTAGGGATATGAGGGACATACCTCAATATAATAAAGGCAACATACAGTAAGACCAAATGCAACATTATTCTAAATGGAGAAAAACAAAGTATTTCTACTAGCATAAGGAACACGACAATAATGCCCACTCTTTCTCTCCATTCCTGTTCAATATTGTGCTTTAAGTCTTGGCTAGAGGATAAGACAAGTGGACGAGATAAAGAGGATACAAATAGGAAAGGAAGAAGCTTAAGTATCCTTATTTGAAAATGATATGATTCTATGTATAAAAGATCTTAAAGACTCCACAAGGAAACTACAGATGACAAACACTTTCATCAAAGTAGCAGGATGCAAAATTAATGCATAAAAGTTGCCTTCTATCTGCAAACATGCCAAAAATGAAAACAGGGAAACAATAGCATGCACAATTGCCTTAAAAAAAATACTATTCACAATTTCTCTACCCTCTCCCCCCCCCCAAAAAAAAATGCTTCTTCAGCAAAGGATACAATAATTCAAGTGAAGAGGCAGCCAGCAGAATAGAAAAAACACTTTACCAGTTGTATATCTGACAGCATTAGTATCTGGAATATATGAAGAAAAAGGAAAAGCCTTAAATATCAAGAAAACAAATAACCCAATTTAAAATAGGGACATGGAACTGAACAGATTTCTCAAAAGAATAAATGTAAAAGACTGAGTGTAGCCAGAAGTTTCTTCAGTCCTGCCCGGCCCTGCAGTTGGATGAATTTCTCCCATTTGCATCCTGCAGCCACTCATTCCCAAGTAAACACACAGAGGCTTATATTACTTACAAACTGTATGGCCTATGTGTCAGGCTTCTTGTAAACTAGCTCTTATAACAACTCCACTCATTTCTATTAATCTATATATTGCCACATGGACATGGTATTACTGGTCTGTTGGCATCTTGTTGCTCCTTGGGTGGCAGGCTGGCATCTCTCCAACTCCACCCTTCTTCATCTCCTCTTCAGTTTGAATGTACTGCCTAACCTTATCCTCCTCTGCCATAGGCCAGTGCACCTTTATTTATTATCCAGTGGGAGCCACACATATTCACAGCGTACAGAAAAACATCCCCCATCATTTCCCCTTTTCTGTCTAATGAAAAAGGAAGGTTTTAATTTTAACATAGTAAAATTATATATAACAAAACAGTTACCAAGCAAGAATTACAGTTACAATATCTATTCTATTTGTATTTGGTAAAATTAAAGAAAATATTCTATCATTTATCCTATATTTGTGAGTCTAAAGTTTTACATCTAATTTACCTTTTATCATAACTAAGAAAAACTATTATAACTATCTAGTCTTCAACTTCATCAAAAGCCCAAGAAGGATATAATATTACCTGAGTAAAAAGGAAGTGCATTGAAAGTAACTTCCATAATACTAGAAATGACAGAGACCTCTGGCTGCCTGGACAGTCACCCAAAGTTCCTCTGTATTGTTGGGGCATCTATCTTCAGTGTATAGGCCTAGAGTCTCTGGCATAGCTTTCAGTGAAACAGGAAATTTTAAGGACTCTTCTGCCCATTCTGGTAAAGTTTGTCAATTGCGTCTACCCATGTCCTGTAGAATGTCTGCCAGTTTCTTCTGTGAAGCAGGAATGTTAAGAACCATCTCACCCTGTTTTGGCAAAGTTCAGTGGTCATTTTCCCATGGGCCCTGCATGTCCAGGTTATACAACATTGTCAAGCAGTCCAGGCAAGAGCAGTTTCTTGCCCAAATGGCCAGTTTTTACAAGAAGTAGATAAACTCCATATGGAGTGTCTTCAATGCCCATCTTCCTCTTTGAAGTAAATTTGTGCTGCCAGAAGCAGACATGTCTCACTATCCAGAAAATTCTAAATTTTTCAAACATTTTAAATGCCATAATCTGTACGTCTTTGAAGTGTTTGAAGATTACCTACCTGATTGAAATATATCTATGTATACCTAGGATACTTAATCTGTATTTCTTAATTATGCATTACAAGTTTAAATGAGTTGCATAAACAATACCTTAAAACATGATAGAAATATACATACAGTAAAACAAAATTAACTTTAAACTTGTATCAATAAACTGAAATCCATACCAATGTAAAATATTTTGAGATTAACTGTCGGTTTTTGGATTAAAGTAGATTCAATAATTTACCCCTTTATCCTATCATTTCTATATCATATCCCCCTTTCTTCTTTTAGAAAGAGATTGATATGACCAATAACAATTTGTAGCCAAACCCTAAACAACGTCAAACATCCATAATCCTTTTTTGGCAGTGTGGGTGTAGTTTTCTAGGCTACTTCTTGCTGATTAGTGACACTGGCAATCTTATGGGGATCCTGAGAAAATTTGAGATAATGATCAAGTCCTGCCAAGACCATCTATAACCTTTGTTGATAGATACCATCTGTCAAGGTTCAGACACTCTCACTTGATCAAATCTGATCCATCCTGGAACAAATCCACAGCCTCTTGCTTC